GAAAGGTTTGTGTAATTTGTAAACATAAATAAGAGTTATTCTCCTTAGCAATATATAAATGCATTACAATGGATCTCTAAAATTACAAGGTTAAATCACTCTTGTTAATTATGGCAAATATTATAATTGTTTATAAAGCTCTTAAATCATTTTAATATCTTAATAATAGTTATTTTCCCTTATATCCGTTTGTTATTGAAATAACAGTTTATAATTATATTGAAACATTATATAAATACATTATAATCTACAACAATTAGGGGTGAGACAGGTTGTGAGATTGATTGGCTAAGAGTGTGGGTGTGAGTGTTGTCAGCATGAGTAGGTAACTGGATTGAGGAGATGGATGCACTGTAATGGTGTGTAGCGAGTGAGTAGTGCACTAGGGAGCATTGAATGAGCTAATTTGAGCTGCAGGCAAAGCTGCATCTGTACGTGCACACTGCATACTCTGACTATGTCTCACAATCGGAGGTGTAGTGAACTGAACCATTGACTGAGGGGTGTATTCCCAAGGCGTTCTGGCCTAAAGGGAGAGCTGCACCTGTGGGACAGGTTTAGATTAGTGAGTGGCAACAAGCAAGAAAAGATGGACGCACTGTGATGGTGTACAGTGAGTGTGAGTGGTGCATGCAGATTGAGATCCGGAGTGTTGAACGAGCAGGTTCGGACTGCAGACGAAATCGTGTCTGTGTACATGTACTCTATTGTCTATCTACAGCATCCAATGGGAGGTGCAGTAAACTGAGTCATTGATTGCAAGGTGTATCTCCAGGACATTCTGGCTTGAATGGAGAAGGCAATGTGCAAGGTGTGGACAGACTCGGCTCAGGAGGGGTGAGCAGTGGCTACTGCTTCCATTATTCGAAATGGTGTCATGGACAGCACTGGGGAATGTAAAGGCATGCAGTGTGAGTCCATCAAGGGTGATCCAACATGGACATTGTTGCGAGTGTGCTTGCATGTGCTTGTCAATTGTTGCTTGCACTGCAGAGCAGGAAGAAGAACATGAATACATGGAATTATTGAAGAAGTTGTTCAGCATTGGTCAACAATGCGGAAGTGCGAATGCGAATGCAAAAAGGAAGAGGAACATGAAAAAAAGGAGGACAACAAAGGAGAGGCAGAGCAAGAGGCAGAGCAAGGAGCAGAAGGGATGGAAGGGAGACAAAAGGTTGGGAGGAGAGGGATGAGCAACTATTGTGCAGGCTATTATGAAGGGACTGGCTGCTTACGCTTTATGTTGAAGGACAGTGTAGTCAGCTCAGTGGCATCAGCGTGGGATCTGAGGCTCAGTGCAGGCATCACAGTGGCAGATTGGAGAGACAAGTACAGTGATGTTTGTTGCCTATGTTGTTGCAGGCAGAGTGCCTGCTGGTAGGACGCTTGTGAGTGGAGGACTTGACTAGAGAGAACAGAGGCAACAACATAGTGTTGGGGGCAGAGGGTTGGGGAGACAGTGAAGGTAGGAGGTAAAGGAGTGACAAAGAGAAATGCATCATTATATGCTCTCGATCTTCAGCAGTTGATTACATAATCAACTATAATATGAGTCGTCAACTGATAGAACATTTCAATTATTGCATTTAGGTATAAAATAAAATTATTGATCTACTTTGTAATATATTAAAAAGTAATATGACATGTATATAGCTTTCTAAACACACTGATGTGATTATTACAAGTAGATGAAATATTTTTTACAAATATTGTAAACTATTTGTATAAATAGTCTAAGTATAATATACATATTATATACTTATAGTATACTTTTATTAAGATAATAATGATATAACAAGTGCTCTTATAATATTATATACATTAATATACCTTTTACATAAATTATTAGACAACAATAGTTATTGTTACATTATTATATTATAAATATAATTCTTTCTTTGAAATTATAATAAAAATGTAATACAAGCATAATACTTTAGGCTATTATACAAAGTTAGTATAATACTTGTAATAGATTGTATTCATCCATAACACTTACTTAGCCTTTATATA